AAATGATCTTCAGGCACAGATCAGGTCCAACAAATGCGTCCTTTAAAAAAAACCACAAAGAAAAGATATCTGTCACTAGAATAGCACCATAGGAAGCGGACAGTGGAGTGTAAGTTAGCACGGTTACTGTTCCCTGAAATTACCTGGTATGGCTTTTATCAGTCTTATGTTCATATATGGTCTTTATTTATTGTTTGTAAATTAAATTAAAATTAAGATTAATTAGAAAGAGGTTAATCTTACTGTTTTACATCCTTAAGCTAACAATATGCAACCATTATTGTTTTTTATGTACAGCGGAGCTATGAACAGGTTCTGTGTATGACACACTGTTGTGCTGTAACGCACTGGTAGTGACGTGTGCAAAAAGTGTGCAAAAGTGTGCAAACAATCTATATAGCACAACCAGTTCTGTCTGCAAACCATGGATGTTTATTGCTAAAAACAAAACAAAAAAGCTTGATAAAGATATCAGTGAAGCTGCCGTGGTGGTCGATGACAGGCCCCATATCACAGCCACCGCCTTATAAAATTGTGCAAAGGCCTTGCAAATAACAATAAGAGATGGCTTAAAGGAAAATTTCAATCATATTCAGAATTCAAACTTCCGAAAGTTCTTTAAATATGAAATTATTAGATCCTGTTTAATAAATGATCAGTGTTTTTAATTCAGAGTAATTTTCATTTGAATGTGCTTTACTGGAGGCATCCATGTTTGTCAAAGAACACCACTGCCACCTACTGGTTAGTGACGTCACGGTGCGGTATCGGCTGTTGATCAAGTCCCAGTGCTGTATCTGGTGTTTGTCACAACGCGCTATTATCCAAGTCATCTTGAAAACATTCTTCTTCCAAATGTTGGCTACATATTACGGGTTTTTTCTCTGGCCAGAAGTTCGATGGCAAATCCTCCCTCTTCAAGTTGGCGATCCAACGACCAACCCGTCCGTGGAGGATCAGGAATCAGAAAGGTGGAATAACTCTTTTTTTCACTTTTCCCCGATGTATTCCAGCATCCAGCTGCCATGCACGTGGGCATTGTCAGTTTCACTATAGCTCTGGTGAATTTCAATGGTGAAGTCCTCTGGAAATCTTCAATAATTGTTGTTGATTGCAGATGTGTCTAGTAGTTCCCATTGATTTAGCTTGTAAAGCGGGGAGAATGGCGCTAGGCTTACCGCACCGTGACGTCACTGCTGGAAGATGGCAGGAGGGAGGGGTTACTATATTAGGGCAAAAATAGCCGCTCCCAGACTCAGTGATCGCAAAGAAAGTTATTGTTTTTATTTTTTGGCTAATTAACACTAAATTCATTAAATCACAGCAAACATATTAGTTTGGGGTATAAATAATGATCCATTAATTATTCGTTGCTGACCGAACTTTTCTGGTTTAAGCCTGTGAAGATCAACTATCTAGTTTTTATGTTCAGATATAATGACTATTGGTTAAAAACCTAATTAATAAGGTTCAATCTGGGTCAAATAGTAAAATAAAATAAGAAAGAAATAAAAATAACAGGAAACAAAAAGTATATAATTGTATGGATGCACATTTATACAGACAATAGTTTTCTTAAAGCAGATATTTTCTAGAATAAAGGATGCTCATCACACTAAACATAACTGCTCTTTATGTGAAACAGTTTAGCCTGACAGCTGGAAGACAGTAAAACATTGAAATCAAGCTGGTTCCTGACGTCAAGAAGATAGAAAAACATCCAAGAAGTTCTGAAATCTTTCCAAACATCAACAGCACCACTGTAGTTCATGTTCTTTAAATTCAAGCAAACAGAAATCCCAGTCGGTCCCTCGCTGCAGGTCATTTCGGTTGAAGCTCCATCTGAAAGGCAGCTGACATGTTTCAGGAATATCCTGCAAAAACATTTTTAGACTGTTTCGTGTAACGACTACAAACCTTCATTCATTTAGAGATTTATTAAGATTTATTAGGACCGACACAAAGCAGTGAATAACAGTGGAAAGAAAATTATATATTTCAATGTTTGCTAACTGTAATCTTGAAAGTGTGGAGGACATTTACTCTGATCCTCAATAAAAAGATAGACTACCTTAAAAATGTCACCTAATTAAAAAATCTGTCTGCTTTTAATAGAATTTCAGTAGAAATCCAGATGTTCAGATGTTTGCTAGAGAACATCAGCTTTAAGAGGAAAAGTTTAAAGCAGAGTTTGATTCTAGAGCATCTGCCCAGCTTTAAACATTTCCTACAGCTTTGTTCAATCTATCATCTGAGCTGTGAACTTTTAAAACCTGCAGTTTGGTCGTACAGTTTGAGTAGTAGCAAATTAAAAATATCACACGATCCAAATTTAAATCTTAGGATTGCCCAGTCAAAGTTTAGGATCTGTGTGAATTGTTTAAATTGGTAAAGAACTCTTAACATCAGCATTTGCTACGATGAGTGTAGTCCAAATAGTGCTGGCAGTAAAGAAGGAGGTTGGAGGTAGGCGCTACGATTTCCACTATGAGACATAGTTTAGACATATATCCAGTTGATATACACTATATTGCCAAAAGTATTTGCTCACCCATCCAAATTATTGGAATCAGGTGTTCCAATCACTTCCATGGCCACAGGTGTATAAATTCAAGCACCTAGGCATGCAGACTGTTTTTACAAACATTTGTGAAAGAATGGGTCGCTCTCAGGAGCTCAGTGAATTCCAGCGTGGAACTGTGATAGGATGCCACCTGTGCAACAAATCCAGTCGTGAAATTTCCTCGCTCCTAAATATTCCACAGTCAACTGTCAGCTGTATTATAAGAAAATGGAAGTGTTTGGGAACGACAGCAACTCAGCCACGAAGTGGTAGGCCACGTAAACTGACGGAGCGGGGTCAGCGGATGCTGAAGCGCATAGTGCGAAGAGGTCGCCAACTTTCTGCAGAGTCAATCACTACAGACCTCCAAACTTCATGTGGCCTTCAGATTAGCTCAAGAACAGTGCGCAGAGAGCTTCATGGAATGGGTTTCCATGGTCGAGCAGCTGCATCCAAGCCATACATCACCAAGTGCAATGCAAAGCGTCGGATGCGGTGGTGTAAAGCACGCCGCCACTGGACTCTAGAGCAGTGGAGACGCGTTCTCTGGAGTGACGAATCGCGCTTCTCCATCTGGCAATCTGATGGACGGGTCTGGGTTTGGCGGTTGCCAGGAGAACGGTACTTGTCTGACTGCATTGTGCCAAGTGTAAAGTTTGGTGGAGGGGGGATTATGGTGTGGGGTTGTTTTTCAGGAGCTGGGCTTGGCCCCTTAGTTCCAGTGAAAGGAACTCTGAATGCTTCAGCATACCAAGACATTTTGGACAATTCCATGCTCCCAACTTTGTGGGAACAGTTTGGAGCTGGCCCCTTCCTCTTCCAACATGACTGTGCACCAGTGCACAAAGCAAGGTCCATAAAGACATGGATGACAGAGTCTGGTGTGGATGAACTTGACTGGCCTGCACAGAGTCCTGACCTCAACCCGATAGAACACCTTTGGGATGAATTAGAGCGGAGACTGAGAGCCAGGCCTTCTCGTCCAACATCAGTGTGCGACCTCACAAATGCGCTTCTGGAAGAATGGTCAAAAATTCCCATAAACACACTCCTAAACCTTGTGGACAGCCTTCCCAGAAGAGTTGAAGCTGTTCTAGCTGCAAAGGGTGGACCGACGTCATATTGAACCCTATGGATTAGGAACGGGATGTCACTTAAGCTCATATGTGAGTCAAGGCAGGTGAGCAAATACTTTTGGCAATATAGTGTAGGTCTATATTAACCTGACTCCGCCAGTTGGATTAGCTCCGCATATCCATCTGCAAACCTTCCGTTGAAGTAATTTTGGGAAGGGCCGAAAATACTGGTTAGCTGATTGGCCTATGTTGGTGATCGACGGGCCAAATAAACCAATCAGATCAACGAAGCATATGACGTACTAACAGAGCGACGACGAAAACACAACCACAAGCCAGGCTACTCTTGCCGAAACCAGTCGGGAGAAGAGCAAAAACATCTTTTCCTCTGAGAAAAGCCTCCAGAGCAGTGTTTTGCTCTTCTTTCAGTGAAGAAATACTCTGTAATTCCGATCAAACTTGCTCGATAGCCACGCTAACGCTAGTTTCATCGGCTGAAGCCGCCGTGTTCTTTAGACTGAACTGTCGCGCTTCTCATTGCGTCACACCTCAACCCGCCTCAAAGCCAACGCTGATTGGACGTTCGTTTGGTGAACGGCTTTTCTTTAACGGAGAGTCTCCAGACTGATCAGCGAGTGAAACCTTGAAAGCTCGCGAGATCAGGATGGTCTCACGAGGCTAGGTCTATATATGTTCCTATGAGAAGAAGAATTGGACAAGAAGCTAGCTCCTGAAGCGACCTGCCAACCACAGCTAGCTAATGCTAACTAAATGCAGACGAAAGGCTAAACACAAGGTATTTTTACAGAAAACTTGCATCATTTTCTGAACTAATTTGGGTTGACCGATCACATTCGTTGTATTCAGCAAACAAACAGAAAAACAAAAAAAAGTATGAAAACTTTTGCAAGCTGTGTAGTAGGGTAATGTTTCCAACCAAACAATGTCTTCTTTTACGAGAGGTTTGCAAACATTCAGTCATAGAGACAAAGCAGTCCTCATTAAAGTGGCCGGTTTTGTCTCTGTTGAAGGACAGATACAGTAGCAGCCATTCAAAATTTCCCCACTTTCCTTGATGGGTCCTTTGCTGGTTTTTAAACATGAATCTTTGTACTAAAATATTCTTTCTGTCATGATTTGTGGACATTAAGATCTAAAGAGAAGCGCCACCTTCTGGTCACACCCTGTAATTCAGTGAAAGGGTGGAGTCAGAGTATAAAATTATGCTAATTATGCTAACCTTGCTGGGAGTTGGAGCTGGTATTTGACTGGGAAGGACCATTTTGAATGGCTGCTACTGTATAACATGAACCATGCATGGAGTGAATTCTCCATTCAAACACTAGAAAAAGAAAATTGACTTCATCCTTAAATGCATTTTATTTGTTGCTGTTGTAGTTACTGTTACCAGCTTCTTCATTCTTTTTACATATAATACAAACTTGAAAAACAGACTAAAATGAACAAAAATAAGAGGAAAATAATAAACACCCCTATGTGACTTTTTCCACCGTATAATTGTGTCCAACATAGTCAAACAATGCTACTGTGTTGCTAATGAAGGTACAAGTGTCAGCAGGAAATGATGATGAAGTGATGAAGACGATGTCCAATAAAAAGCACAAAAAAGAAAAAAACACCTTCTTAATAACAATTTACATCAAGGTCGGTGCTTCCTGACTTTATTCCTGGAAGAAAAAGTTTGTGAAATTCCATCCACCTGCAGTCTTGGTTGGACTGGGGTCAGTAGGCCCTTCTGATCTCGTAGGGGGACCAGGGGTTCACTCCGTCCTCCTTAGCCCATGAGGAGTGGGCGTCAGTGCCAGCCGGGAGGCTGCTGTGACCTTCGCCCACCTCCTCTGTCACCATCTTGGACACCAGGTCACTGACAGGGCTGCTCATGTACGGGGGGCATGGAAAGGAGGAGGGCACAGGGTAGGTACTGCTGCTGGTTAAAGGATGGTAGTGGACGTCCTCCAGGGAATGCAGGGTGTAGGGCTGGCTGCTGGGGACGGGGCCCATGGACGAGCCGCGGCTGGGGGAACGGTACTGCGACGGGCTGCCAGGGGGCTCCGGGCTGGGCATGGATGGAGGGACACTGACAGAGGCCAGGCTGTCTGGACAAAGGCCCTCCACCTGGGATACCGGCTCCGACCCTGACTGGTCCCATGAGTCACGCTAAAGCAGGAAAAGATGAACAAAGAGGAAGAATGATTCAGTTATTCATTTCCTGATCAGATAGGGACACGGCTGATGACAAAAGTGCCTCAGTGACAGGACCATTTAGTTGGTCATATCTGTTTTTCATGCGTTACAGGAACGTCTGTTTTGCAGAAAAAGTGTTCAATGCTTTGAAAGGCAGTGCTATATGCATGGTGCTTTGATTTTATCTGAAAGCAAGGCTCCCATTACAGTAACCATGGCGATGGTGCACAACCAACCCTCAAACAAAGTTTGGAAATTGATAGTAACTTTAAATGATGTTTATAAGGCTGATTACTTTGCTCCAATATATACCTGGGAGTGTTAACAGCAAGTAAGTGTTAACATGTCAATAACCGCATATTACTGATAATATGTTTTTATTTTATTTTATTTTTTTTCTAATTATCTTGTTTTTTTTATGCATCTGTGTGTTGTTTTTATGCATCTAACCTCCCTCCCCCTTAATGCTAACACCTTTTAAAAGCCTAACCAGGGACGAAGGCTGCAAATTAGCCCATGGCTACAAGCCTTACGTACTTGGACATCGGCCACCTGTTTGGTTGCAATGTTTAATTGTACTGTCCCTGTCAAATAAACAAATAAATAAATAAAAATAATAATCTGACTGAGGTAGGTCCACAGATCTGAACCAGAGCTTTAACCTAACAAAGCAACAACACTGCACTTCTTTTATTATCTACAGGGATAAATTACAACCACAAAAACTATTTATGGCTTGGCAAAAATAAGTTTTAATCTTCATATCTCTCTTACAAAACAACAGAAGAGAAATGCTTTTAAAATTAGTTAAAATTTGTCTTTTTTTTTTAAAGTTTGTGACTCCATATAGCTGGAAGCAGTAGGCGCCGTCACCAAACTTTGGGCCATAATCTCACTTTGGAGTCTGGTTCTGCTGGAGGTTTCTTCCTGTTAAAAGGGAACTTTCCCTCTCCACTGCATGCTTAGTATGAGGGATTGCTGAAGAGTCAATGAGTCGATGCAATCAGCTGGTTTTTCTTAGATAGAAAACTTTGAATCAATCTGACTGGATGATCTGGTGAACTGGAAAGTTTATCTTTATTTCTCTTTGCTATAGTCATATATCAAATCTTCTGTTTGAAAAAAAAAAGCAAGTTCTTTTCATGGCAACATACTGTCTGCTTTAGACATTTTAATTTAAAAATGTTCAGCATTATTATGCTGTCATTAAAAAAGCACCAGCTTTTTAAAAATTACAATAAATCTCACTTCTTTCAGCCAGATGAACAGTACCCAGCAACAGGCGGGGGAAGGGGGCTGTGTGTGATGCATTCCAGCACTTTTGTCTTTTTCTGTTATTAAAATGACAGAAAAAACTCCAATTCAGAACACAATTGCATTGATTCAAAGTTTTCTATGTAAGGAAAACCAGTTGATTACATCGACTCATTGACTCTTCAGCAATCCCTCACACTAAGCATGCTTGTAGCGACAGTGGAGAGGAAAAACTCCCTTCGAACAGGAAGAAACCTCCAGCAGAACCAGGCTCAGTGTGAGCGGCCGTCTGCCGAGGTCGCCTGAGGTCTCTAAAATACAACTTCTGCTGAAAGGTTTAAAATTATACCTCAGTTTCCTGTCTTTATTTCACAAGTCTCTGGAATTGCAGCAAAAAAAATTTGTAAATCAGACAAATATATTATTTATTGATTGTTGCGGTGCTTCTGTTCAAACCCAAAACAAACCCTTATACTGACCAATAAAAATGTTACTAACAGAGGACACCAAGTGGAGGGATTTACAATCATTATGATGGCATCCCTGAGGTGTACGGAAAGCCAAAAGATAGATCAAGAAATACATCCATTTCAATGATAAATATAAATAAATAAACTGCTAAATAAATGTAAAAGGTAAATGGTTAATTTTTTCATATAATTAGGTAATTGATCATTCAAATATAAACTGTATTCTTCTTTATGTATAACTATTAATTTGGAGAATGCACTATTTAATAATTAAATGTTTTATTAGATATTTAAAGTACATTTAAAGTTAAGAATTAAGTAATGAAGACTAATTATTATAAGATTTTCACTAATTACTTTACTTCATATGTATAAATAAACATGGAGTGAAGTAATTAGATATGTTTTTAGAGGGTTGCATAGATAGATTGATATATTTGTGGTGTTTTAAAGTCTGTGTCTACTAAGAGTAAGATGGCGGACGTTAACAGATAACACATCTACTGCACCGCCACAGCGCTGTGTTATAGTCTGTTGAAAATACGGTTGCCAGGGAAGAGAGGGAAGCAAAAGCCATCAAAACCAGAACATTACCATTTATATCTGATTGAAACTGATCTGTTGAGTAGACAGAACAAACAATATCTTTTAATTTCCTCCACGCAGCGTTGGATGGGATGTTATTAAAAAACCTCACTGTGTTTAAGTTTGTCATTTCCTTGTTAAGTTGCAATATAGAAAAGTCCCACAGATAGAAACACCTTTAACTTTGGAAATAAAGAAACATCTTTAGTAATAAACTATATAAAAAATATAGCTTTGCTTCTCTGATTACAAATTAGAAAAGAAATCATCATATGATTTAGTATCCAAAAACAGTTTAAAAGCTCTCTATACCAGATTCCTAATTCTATATTTTTTATTTTTGTTCATTTCAAAGATAAACCAGCTTTTAATCAGGTGTTTATTTATTCTACTGCAGTAGGAACAAATAAAGTATTTTGATCCCTGAAAGTTTCCCACATTTTTTCCTGTTAAAAACACAAACATTTATGTGCGGAGCTGCTCAGTGGGACGGTGGGAAGCACTGCTGCCTTGCAGCAAGAAGGTTCTGGGTTTGATTCCCGGCTCGGGGTCTTTCTACATGACTGTTAGGTTAATTGTTAAAGTTTCCCTATGATGGACAGGCGCCCTGTCCAGGCCGGACCCCGCCTCTCACCCATAGACAGCTGGAGGTGGGGACCAGCACCCCGTTTGGGAAAATTCCAAATCTAGTTTAGTCATTTTTTCTTAAAATAAGTGACTTTGATCTTGGATTGAGGAGGTAAAAGAGACATTTTGCCAATGGAACAAGACAATTTACATTTAAAATAAGAAAACACAATTGCATTGTCATATTTCAAGGGAATGTTATCTAATTATCTTATTTTAAGTGTGAAAAAACTCCATTGGCAAACTATCTAATTTACCTACTCAAATCAAGGGTAAATACACTTAAATTAAGAAATTTTTACTTATTTCTAGATCTGAAAATCAAGTTAAGTGCAAAACACTGAAGTGAAAGGTTAATAAAAACACAGTAGAAACCTGGACGGTGCAACATGCTGCTCTTTAGAGCCACCTTTTACAGTTAAGATCAGCTTAAGCTCAACCTGTTTCTATTCTTTATAAGTTTAGTCAGATTTGGATAGGAGAATCAGTTAATATCAGCTTCCGCTTTTTGTTGCAGATTCTCAAATTAATTCAAGTTGGTCTGTGCCAACTATCAGTCTTCTGGGATATGGGAACCATAAACCATGTTTAGCAATGGCACTTTCACTAAACGTTTCTAAAAAAGAAAATATGTTTTTGACAAATATTTTTAGAAAAACAGAGCAAAAACTGTTGATTTAAATCTGGACTTTGACTAGGACATTAAAAAAGAACAACTTTCTTTGGTCTAACTGGTATTGTCCAGAGTTTCTGCAAATATGGCCGACATCGTCCAGATTTAAAATACAACAATTACATTTTATTTTGATGAAACAAAGAAAGCAGAGGACAAGTTCCTTGTTCATTGTAGTTCTTAAGCTCATCTTATTTCTGTACAAACATTATATTTATTAAGTTTATCTTATTAAATACAATCTGAAGGTGAGCATCTTTGCTCTGCTACTTTCCAATCTTCCTCCCTGCACAAATAAACAAACAATATATCTTTGCGAAGTCGATGGATATTTATTTATTTAGTTTTTCAGTGGAACTCATGTTGATCTGTACAATGATTGGATATAATATAATCTGCAAACCTTTATGCATTTTGCAGCCAAGTTTAATAAATGAGTGCAACTAAACCCAGACGCTGGTGAGAGTTGGTGAAAGTTTTTGGTGTCGTTCACGATCAAACTAAGATAAAAGAAGAGATAATTATGCTTAAAGATTTATGGTTACAGTTTAAGGGACATTTTAGAAATAATTGTGGATGTCTGTCATCTCTACTGCTCCTTCAGAGGTTCCAGTAAATCTCTTCTTTCAGATTAGATTCAGGGTCATTTATTATTTTAAATATTCTGATGTAGAATATATTTCTGTTTATGGATTTTGGGTCAAATGGATTTCCTTGAGATGTTCATAGCTCAGAACTTCCTCGTATTATAAATATTTAATAGTTAGCTGACTTAGGAGCAAAATAGGTAACACTTAACGAAATATTATGGATAGATAGCTATTTAATTCCTTTTTTCCAAGGAAATTAAAGATATAAACACATTTATTTTCCCCTTGCAATTACTGTAGCCATTCATAATTAGCCCACTTTCCTTGGCTGGTCCCCTTCAATTCCTTTTTAAACATCAATCTTTGTTCTAAAATATTATTTCTGTCATTATTTGTGGACATTATGATCTAAAGAGAAGCGCCATCTCCTGGTCAGACCCTGTAATTCATTGAAAGAGTGGAGTCAGAGTAAAAAAATACGTTGGGTTCATGGAGGGGATTTTGCTGGGAGTTGTAGGGTAGTGGGCTGCCATTCGGCTGCCGTTTAACTGGGAAGAGCCATTTTAAATGGTTGCTACCGTATGTGTCAACTGTGCACAACAGTATGTGAAAAACTTTGCTTCAGAATCCTACCAGATATAAATGTGAGGATTCTCCGCTGAAAGGCGGCAACAAGGAGGAAATGGCGGATGAAGGCAAGAAGGAACTTCCAGAGCTGGAGAAGGTGGCAGCGCTGCGGTAGTCTCCAAAGGTTTCTGGGTAATAGCTGTCAATGAGGGAGGAGTAGCTGCTCATAGTGGACGGTTGTGTGGAGGAGTAGACGTCAGGAGGGAACTGCTTGCTGGATGCACAAAAGTCTGAGTCGGATAAGAAGGGTCTCCTCATGCTATAGTAGCTGGGCAGCATGTGTGACCCTGTTTGGGGAGAAGAAAGTGTTTATGAGACTAAATGTCAGCAGAGCTGCTGTATTTAAAAAAATATCACAATATCTCAGATGTGCAGAAAAACATAAATGCTGGAATCTGCAGAGGATCTGAGCTTGCAGAGACGTACCTGGCATCTGGACAAATGAAGGCGGAGTAGTTGATCCTCCCTTTGAAGAGGAAAGAGAGCTTTATGTTAGAATGCATTAAATTTACCTGTGTCTGAACATGTAAAGATTTAGATAAAAGGATTTCCTGAAACTATTCGTGTAGATTTTAGTATATAGAAAATGTTTGCACTATCCATCCTACTTTCTGTTGAACACATAGTCTTCACGGCTTTGACTATCAGTTTACTATTTTTAAACCCCACAGCAGCAGATAATCGACTTGGGTCTCTCTTTTTTTTTTCTTCTCTAAGGCCAGCTCAAAGTGTCTCTTTAAAGTCTTACATAATTATTTCAGTAATCCAAACATCGAGCTACTTCGTCTCAGTTATGACCGTAGTGGCCTACATTTGAACTCTATTTTTTTTATTATTTGTGTTTTTCCTCCCTCTCCATTTTTTCTTCTTATCTGCAAAACAAATGGCCTCTTGGGGACAATAAGGTGTCATGCTCCTGTCAGTGAAAAGAAAAACTGATAAAACACAAGCAGAGCACTGAAAATCCTGAAGCAGTTGATGCAGCACTCAGACATCGTTAGTGCAGGCAAGTGAAGATTTGCTAAATTTAATGCAACATAAATTCCATCATATATTTTAATAAAATAAAATAGTACATGGTACTTTATTGATCTCACAATGGAGAATTGAACTCTCTGCATTTAACCCATAGCCGTTGGGGAATGCTGTGTAGCACCTGGGGAGGATTTGCAGGGTTAAGGGTCTTGGTCAGAGACACAGAGTGGCAGTTTGTGGGGGTGGGTTTTAATCTCACAACCTCAGGATTCCAAGCCCTATGCCCTGACCACTAGGCTGCCACCCCCACAGTTTATGAGGTAATGTCCAAATGTTGAGACGTAGCATCTGTTTCCTTTGTTTGATAATAGCTTGTTTAACAAAGCCTGGATTTAGTCAGTTAAAGTTAGCATGTCCAAAGCAACAGCTAGCATAACCCATGGAAGTAATTTTATTTTATTTTTTTTACAGGGGGGACATGTCCCCTGCACTTTTTGAAATGCCCGTTTTGGTTCCCTGTTCGTTTTATTGTCCAAAAACAACGTTATGCTACAGTACACAGACATTCGTCAAGCACTAGGACCATGCTGAAAGCTGCTTCCCTGACTTTAGACCGTCCACAAGCTCCTGATTGGCCCACCGCTTTTTTTCTTGCATGATTGGCTGTCACTGCTGTCATTCCTGAGAAGCTCACTTTACAAACATCTGATGCGCCACTGAATCGGGTCTGTGATTGGACACCCCCCCGCCCCCCCCCCCCCCCCCCCCCACACACACACACATACACATACATGGTGTGACCATATTGAGGAGACAAGTCTTAATAACTCTATGTGTGTGTGGCTCTGAACTAAGGCCATGCTGATCCACTAAACGTTTGTGTTCAAGAAAAATATGCAAACTTGATAGCACGCCCCAAGCTGCTCTACTAAACAGGCACTACCAAAATAGTGTCTGTGATATCAGGATCATTTCAGATGCACTCTATTTGGGAGGATAAGCAAATGATATTACTAACCTCCTGTAATTTAATTTTAAAACCTAATTTGATTGCTGCAGCAGGTTTTCCATCTATATTCAGAAGGGAAGGTGGAAACTCACATACCAGAAAGAGGCATAGGTACAATGATAGGATAGAGAGACTCTTCTCTGCCTAAGGCCCCCGTCCACACGAAGTCAAACCCTGGCCTAAACGCACAAATTTTTCACCAAACCAGCCTCTCATCCATAGGAAGCCGGCGTTTCGGGGGTCTGTAAACGATCTTTTTTTTATTCAGCCTTCAGAGTGGGAAGATTTTGAAACGCCGTTTTCGCGTTTCCATCTTTAAGCTCTAACTGCATTTTTTTTTTTACACGCATGCGTCATAGCGTCGCCTCTAAACACGCATGCGCGACACAGTATCACAACAACAATGGCGCCGTACTGTGTTGAATGGTTGCTGCTCATGCTACTCACCCTGCTGTCGGGCTTACAACAGAATCTTCTTCTTCTGGAATATCTCCAGGAAGAACAGAGCAATATGGACGACATAGTTCAGCACCTGAATTTGACTGAACCACGAAAATGGACCCGCAGGGCAACCATGTATAAATATTACTGCGCATGCCCAACATTTCGTCGCCTATTTTTGCTTCGGCACCACAGCGCCACTTACAGGCCTGGCATACATTTTGCAGCGTTTTCATGCATTCGTGTGGACGATCACATTTATTTTACGTCTCCGTCTTTACGGCAAACGTTCTGGAAAATATTAGCGTTTCGTGTTCGTTTTGACTTCGTGTGGACGGGGCCTCAGTCATTAAGCTCAGACTGTGAGTCGTTGAAATGGAAGAGACCTGTCATGGTAAAGTATTAAAGCAATAATTTGGGGGTTTGCCCAAGTGATCAACGTGTTTTTTTGTGGATTTGGAGAAGGCATTTGACCATGTCCCCCTGGTGCCGGTCATCTGGTCCCTGTACAAGCGGAGTAGGAGTTTGGTCTGTATTTCTGGTGTTAAGTTGGAACCGTTGGACTCTGAGGGCCCTGTCACACCTACTTAGAAAGTCTTGGAATCTCCTAAAACGCGACGCTGAACTTTCTATGTATTTTATACATAGAGTATTCATAACGACTCCAGAACTTTTGTCAAATGACAGCCTAACTTATGCATAACGCACGGCAGCATAATGTCCATGAAATTATGCACAATCATCATTCCATGAGCATTGCGCAGTACGCAGTTTGAGTTATTGCTCAATATCGCCCTCTGGAGCAATGACGCGCCTGAGGGGAAATACAGCACTTGGACTTGATCAGCAGCTGATACCGCACCGTGACGTCACAAAAGGAGGAAGTAGTGTTCTTTGACAAACATGGATGCCTCCAGTAAAGCACGATCAGATGAAAATTACTCTGAATTAAAAACATTTATCATGTATTGAACAGTATGTAAAAATTTCATTTTTAAAGTACTTTTAGAAGTTTGAATTCTGAATATGATCAAACTTTTCCTTTAAACCATCTCTTATGGTTATTTGCAAGGACTTTGCACAATTTTATAAGGCGGTGGCTGTTATATGTATGGAGGATAAAAAGTGGCAAAATTAAATGAATAAATACAGCGATAAACAATTAATTAAATGTGTAATTCATTAAATAGATAAGGAATTAAATATATAATTGTGTCATTAATTTAATAAAATACGTCTTCATTTCATTAAAAAAAAATATATAATTATTTCCGTTTAGCATTTAATAATTGAATGGTCCTGTGTCGCAGTGCATCGAAACCATTAAAAGAATCTGTCAAACTCACCCATCAAAGTTAGGGGGCAGGTTAACACGAATCAAGTCTCTGTAATCGATTTGCTTCGCCTTAATGTGCAGGGTGACCAATCAGGTGTTAGATAACCGCCCCCTAACTTTAATTAATTATTGAGACATTTAATTATTTATTTAATGCTGTATTTATTTATTTAATTTTGGCACTTTTTATCCTCCATAGATATGGGGCCTGTCATCGACCACCACTGCAGCTTCACTGATATCTTTATTAAGCTTCTGTATTTTGCTTTTAACAATAAACATCCACAGTTTGCAGACAGAACAACTGGTTGGGCTATATAGATAATTTGCACAACAGTGTGTCATACACAGAACCTGTTCATAGCTCCGCTGAAATTAAAAAACAACAATGGTTCCATATTGTTAGCTTAAGGGTGTAGAAACAAAGCTGATAAAACAGTAAGATTAACTTTTCTTTTTGAAAGTACAACAAAACACCTCATTCATGCATGTAAAGGCCCACATTTCAGATTTTACTCTGATCAAAACGCTCCTGGTAATTCTAATTTCATTTTCAGACAATAAATAAAGACCATATACGCACAAAAGACTGATATAAGAGATACCAGTTCATTTCAGTTAGCAGCTGTTAACTGATTAGGATGCCATCAACTTACAATATTGAACTAGAAATTTACAGACTACTTTCATGACATAATAATTATGAAATATATTTTAATAAAGATATCAAATAAAAAATTAATTCTGTTTCTAGAAGCTACCATCATATTTAATATAAAATAATGAATATGTCTTTCAATAAGTTTTCTTTTTTAGATTAAAAGAGCCTTGTGGAAAATTAGAACATTAAAGCGGGTTTTAAACCTCATTAAGCTCCACTTTATTTATAAGATATTTAGGTGTTGATGGAAAATAATTATAATGACCAAATATGTAGACCTCAAAACATCTGAGTGGATTTCATACTTAATTTTTTAAATTTGTAAATGTTTCCAATTGGTTTTCTTATTTTTTGAGATTTTAATCAGATATGTTTCACTTTCTGAAAGTAAATGACTTAAAAAATAAAAATAAAAATTAGGTTTATATCTATGAAGCATCAAACTCACAATAATATTTTAAAATAATCTACAGTTTAATCAAACATCTACATTTTATATTTTCAAATACATCGATCTAAACTGCTACATGTTTTCCTGTTTGTTTCACAATAATACATTTCATTCTGCTTAAAACATTTTTCTGATGTCATTGGGAAGTTTAGTTATATCATGTTTTCTACAGTGACACCTTGTGTTTAGTAAAATAAATGCAATCAGTAGTAATCTGTTTTTATCTGTTGATTTTTACACAAACTCTGACCTAAATCTGTGTTTTTTAAAAGATCCTCCCTTAGTTGCAAAACCTAAATCTGTTTGTCAGAGAAGATGAACAAAAACACATCAGGCTAATCTGGAAAACCAACTGAATGTGAGACGGCTGCGAAAAGGCTCAAGCTTGCAGAGTGTCGAGGAGGAAAGGGCAGAAACGGGACACTGCAGAGAGGTGAAACATGGATGATCGAATGTTTTAAAGGAAAGTTTGCAGCCTGGTGAAAAGGAGAGAAAAGCCGCCTCAGCTAAAGCAGACTAAAGCAATAAAGACAAGGTTGGGAGGAGGAGCAACGAGCAACGAGCAACACAAGGGAAGAAATACAAGGATATTC